TGGAATTGTTCCATGTGCTTCTTTAGTGTAATTTTATAAGAAAAGGATTCGTTACAGTTTTCACAATGAAGTTTAGGTTGATGCACTTCTTTATGCCTTAGAAATCCTGTTAGGGAAAGGAATTTCTTTCCACATTCGGGCCAAGCGCACTTATGTAAATCTTGTTCCTTGTGCGTTTTAAGATGTTCTGAATATTCCTTTCTCGTATGCATAATCACATTACAATAACCACATTTAAACTTCTGCCTAACTGAAAAATTGGCATGACGTTTGTGTTTACAAATACCATTTTACTATGCTAATTAATGAATATAAATTGAAAAATGACTGTATCAGCATCATTCATTAAGCCTATCAAATCACATTTCGAGCAACTTATATTACGAGATGTTATTCACTATTATCACTTAAATCGCGAGGGAAGCAGTGAATAATTACTTTGATACTGCTGGTATAATATATTGTATGTGTAGATAAACTGTGTAATGTAAGTTAATATTGTGGTGCGCCCATTGTCCCAGATCTCACCTCAGAGCTGTGTCAGGATCTCTCAATTCGAGGATGAAGAGAATCTGGAGCACCAAAATCATTTGGAAAAATGTTCGTCGAGGTCAATTGGATATATGATATCGGGGCCATTTGGTCTTTTTCTTTTTTTATTCATTTGTTTTTTACTTCATTCATTGTCAAGGTTGAAAAAAATCGGCGACCACTTATTTCAGTTAGATAAAAATGCTAAAAATTTTGCTGAATTTGCGAAACTCACGAGAAGCTTTGCAGAATTGTTTCTTGTGTCTCCGTAATGAACACTTGTGGTTGAAGGAAAAACCACACTTTTCGCATATAAATTTATGTTGATCTACTTCCTTCTGGGAAAAAATGATGACGAATGATTGCGGAATTCTTCCCCACTGCTGGGCTGCTTACGTTGATAAGGAAATCGTTCATGGTGTTTTCGAATGTGTTCTAAACATTTGGTTTTGCTCCGTGTAGTCTCATTACAGTTGACATGTGAACACTTATACTTTTTTCACATCTGAAAGACATCTGTTGTGATATTTGTGTTTGCAATTAGTTTTTCTGCTACTTCATTTGGCAATTAATTGACTCAATTTGAAAACTGATCATGAAAATATCTGTGCCATGAAACAAACTTATGATATCGTATCTTGATTAACTCAGATCACGAGACTCTGTTCATTCGTTATTGTATGTATTTCGAACAAAAGTATTAGTATTAATATTACCTATTAATGTCACCTATAATCACAGAATATCTGATTACATTAAGACAAAATCAGTTCCGGTTTTCAATTTTTTATTTTCACTGCCAAATAGTACCCAATGGAAGTTACCTGGAATATCATCGTATTCTATGACGTCCTCATTGCTCGACTGACTCGGTTGAATTTTCGATTTTTTATTCTTATTGCCAAATAGTACCCAATGGAAGTCATCTGGAATATCATCGTACTCCATGGCGTTATCATTACTCAACTGACTCGGTTGAATTTTCGATTTCTTATTCTTGTTGCCAAATAGTACCCAATGGAAGTCATCTGGAATATCATCGTACTCCATGGCGTTGTCATTGCTCGACTGATTCGGTTGAACCACTTGAACTGTTGCACTTTGGCCGGGAAAGTTATCAAAGGGAATAGTAACGAGGAAA